ATGCCTAATCTAATGTTGAGCAACTTCTATATGCACCTTACAGAGAGAATATCAAGTGGTGGCATAGCTACTGGTTGGTAGGTAGGCTTGAGCATCCTAGTATGCCTTAGGATCTCTTGAAATAGTAATTAAAGATAAGAAGTGAGCTCAATGGAGTTTCTTTTTCCTTGAAATAATATGCAAAGGTACTACCTGGGCTGCTGAACCCATAACCAGGATCTGCTTGTATAATTCATCCCAGAATCTCTCTCCAAAACACATTTTAAGAAACACGAATTCTATGTTCAAAATGATTAATAAATTCATAGAACCAAATTTCATCTTTCTGACTTAAATAGTAACATTGACTTTGCTTTTAATATATATATAATACATAATATATATATATATTCAACTGCAAGCCACTACTTTATTTCTTGAGTAATCAAGGTTGTACACTAAGTAGCAGGTGAAAATTTGTATGCTTTCAAGCCAAACACTTTAACTCTTCAGCCAAAGCACTTAGAACACTAGAATAATCTGAGATTTATACTTATTCCTAGCTCTTTTCATAAGTAACAAGAAAAACAGAGAGAGCTGTAGCATCTCAGAACTTTCCATCTGTGTGTCAGGTCATTTTCTGTCCTTAAATGTGTTTGAGAGGCATTAGGATTTATAAAGAGCCGAAGATATTCAGTGCAACTTCTTAGTTCCAAGTTATCGAGACTCTGATGACTGACTACACAGGACTAGAAATCCTTAAGTTTGCCCTGGTATTCCCATGTATATGCACAAATATATCAAACACGTGGAAATGCCACTAAAATGAAATCAACTACTTTGTTTTGACACAATGCAAGATTAAATGTATGGTCCAGGAACATCTTTGTCTAATTGGTAGCCAATTAATTTTGTTAATTCTAGTTCATAGAACTTCCAACATCCTATCTTTCCTCCTGCTCTTTAATTCTTTGCTCATTGATATAAATGAACGTTAATCATCCACCAGACAGAATTTTAGTCAAGAGACCTTCCCTGAGAGCCTGATTTTCCCCCATAGTAGGACTGAGTAAAGTTTGGACTCCAGAGATACCAAATTCACCTCCATCTTCATCCTTATCACATTGTGATTCATTTGCAAGTTTATTTGCCCATCTCCATTTCTACAGAAGCTCAATGAGGGTAGGAATGGTCTGTTGTATTATTGTATCTGAAGGGCCTTGCACAGTGATTCACTTAGCAGAGGTATTCAATGAGTAAATGAATTAATTAATGAACTTAATAACTTTAAGTCCCTCATTATCTTTAAAAGTTAACAACTCCACTATGTTTCTAGGCTCCTTATACAACTTTAGATTGAATGTTCATCCCATTTAAGAAGCATTGTATAAGTGACTTCACTACATGATATTTAGGAAGTTCCTAAAATCAGGAAATTGTATTTTTATGGTAAAATTTCAGTGAACTCCAACTGGTTACACTACATATACAAGATAGGAAATAGATTTTTTGAAATCAGCACATCAATGCACTGCCATGTTTATTGTAACACTGTTCAAAATAGCCAAGATACAAACTCAATCAAGATGTCTAATGATTGATCAATGGGTTGAGAAAATGTGGTATATTCATATATACACAATGTAATATTATTCAGCTATAGAAAAGAATGAAATCCTGTTTGCAGGAAAATAGATGAAATTGGAGGGCATTTTGTTAAATGAAATAAGTCAGACACAGAAAGAAAAATACCTAATGCTACCTCTCATATTAAAGAAGGTAAAAACTTACCATAGAATAGTGATTGGCCGGCGCCACAGCTCACTAGGCTAATCCTCTGCCTTGCGGCGCCGGCACACCGGATTCTGTCCCGGTTGCCCCTCTTCCAGGCCAGCTCTCTGCTGTGGCCAGGGAGTGCAGTGGATGGTGGCACAAGTGCTTGGGCCCTGCACCCCATGGGAGACCAGGATAAGTACCTGGCTCCTGCCATCAGATCAGCGCGGTGCACTGGCCGCAGCGCGCTGGCCGCGGCGGCCATTGGAGGGTGAACCAACGGCTAAAGGAAAACCTTTCTCTCTGTTTTTCTCTCTCACTGTCCACTCTGCCTATCAAAAAAAATAAATTAAAAAAATTAAAAAAAAATAGTGATTGTTAGAGGCTAGGAAAACGAGAGAGATGGGGGTATAAACAGAAGTTGGATATCAGGAACCAAAACACAGACAGAAGGAATAAGTTCTAGTGTTCCACAGCAATATGGAGTCACTGCAGTTCATAATAGCATACCCATTACATGTCTTACAAAGAACTAGAAGAGACGTTCTTGAGGTCTCCACACATTAAGGAATGATAAGGAGATGGAAATTCTCATCACCTGATTTAATCAGTACATGATGTATGCATGTGTTGAAACATGACCTTGTGCCCCATAAAAACATGCAACCCAAAATAAAAATAAAAAATATTGTATTTGTATTACTTAAATACCAAAAACTAAATGCTTAAATTTTCAAAAATATTTGATTTTGACAAATTCTATACTAATAAATACACATTTTTACAACTCACATTTTCAGCACTGACTTTTCTTAAGTATATCTTGCATATGTATGTGTTTTCTGTTTTGTCTTTGGCTTAGAAATGACACTAAATGTGATGGTAATTTATATAATATCCTCCTAAATGCTGAAAAAATGTAATGAAAATAATTTGTGAGGATATCATTATTTTTTTTCTTGAGGGAGAGACATTTCTACTTTTCATAGCAGTAACTTCCCAATTACAATTAACAAAAATTTCTTTTCTTATCTTCATCTATTGTGTTCCTTACCTTTGTCATACAGTTAGCACTCCCTCTATACTCATCTATTTTCTAGTTGTGTCATGAGCCTGCCTCCTCAGATGAATTCCAAATGTGGGATTATGGGTTGCATGTTTACACATCTTTCAGTTTCCCTGACAACATCTAGACAGGCACAAGGTTAAATTCTCAATAAAATGTGAATAATCGGAACTTCAGATTTAAAGCCATCTATTCCCCTTCCATAAATAATGGTATTTATATACACGAAATCAATCAAACATTAAATTAGAGGTCAGCAAATTTATAGCCCACAGGCTAGTTCTGTTATCTATTTTTTTGAAAAAAAAAAAAAAAAAGCTTAATGGCGCAGCCACTCCCATCTATTTACATATCATCTATGGCTCCTTTCAGGCCACAATGCCAGAGTGGAGTATGCCCTGTACAGCTTAAATTAGTTAATGCCTGACCCTTTGCGGAAAACTATTACTGACCCCTGCTCTAAATCATTCTTTCCGATGAGGGAATTCAATCTCAGATAAACGATATATCAAAATGTGTTGTGAAATCTGTCCACCAACTATATCACTGTCAGATACTTTTTCACAACCAGATTAAATGTATGGTAAAAATAACAGCATTTTAGATTACAGAAAGCCAAATAAACTGTAAAACCACAAGTTAAGATGGTTGCCAAAAGACCTTTAAGGGCTTAATTAAAGTAAACCAAAATGTAAGTATTAAATTTGTGAATTAAATTTATCAGCTGGTATAATTAAAGAGTTGGTATGTACATAAACACATGAGCACACACATACACATATTTTTCTATCAGGGAATATTAATTTTTATAAAAATATCAACAAAAAAGTCCAAGTCTCACTGAAGAGTTGTAAAAGATGTTGAAAGCAATAAGTGTCAAGGAAAATGCTTTTAAAATGGACCACATTGACCCCACATGCTACTCTATTAAGAGATAAACAGCTTTAAAAAAAAAAAGAAAAGAAATCTCACTGTCAATGGAAGAAAAAACTAAACAGAGTATACCATCCCCCAGCTTTCATCTTCTATTACGGCAGGAATACAGCACAAAGTCCATAAAAATCACTTTTTCAGTCAGTCTCTATTAATTAATCAAATCTGGTTGTCAACAATTTACTTAACTCTGGATTTCTGAAGAGGAAATCATAAAAACTCCATCTGAAATATTCTTGTATTTATTACACTAAGCTTCACTTAAGCTTAAGTAAAGCAATAAAAGAGAGGAAAGTGACCCACTATAATGATCAAAAGTGAACTCAGGAAACCTACATCACTCTCAGACTCTGTTCCTGGTAGACAAAGATTGTACAGCATACATATTTTAGGTAGTAAAAATGATGTTTTCCCAGGCTATCATACACAAGGGGTCCTCCAAAAGTTCATGGAAAAACTGAAAAAACTATGCCTGGATTTCAAAAAAATTTTGCAACAAAATAAATTTATCTTTCAATTCCATTTTTCCATGAACTTTTTCAAGTGCCCCTATATAATACAATAATACAGGCACTTCTGGAGTAGAAATGAAATGCAACTAGCAGTATATTAAAAAAACTGCAATTGGTGAACTACAGACAGTATAAGTTTAAACTGGGTAGAAAAATTAGATGTTACAGTTGGATCCTTAAGATGGTCTGTCCCCTATCACAAGTCACCAGACATTGAGTATGCTCACGTTAGCAAGAGCTCACATCTTCCATTTAGACAAGAAAGGGATGGAAGAGGGAAGAAAAGAACAAGCTGAATCAGTATGGACCAAAGATCAGAACAGAATATTTATGTAGAAAAGTCCAACATAGAGAGATAACAATGTAGGACAATTAATATCACACATAGAAGCCTGGATACCTAAAAAACACAAACGTCCCCCTCTGCCATCTCCCGATTATGAAAGAAACAGCATTTCTGTATTCCTCAGACAACCAGCTATTGAAATCCTTCTCAGATAGGATTTGTTCAATATTGTTTAGACCTTGCCAAGTGGAGGAAACAGAATTACTGAGCCTCAGCTGCCTTGGCATCCATCGACTCCTCCTGAAATCCTGTCACTTCTCCATGTTTCCATCAAAGATACTAGAGAAACTATCAGGTAGCAGGTGTGTTTTTCAAATGGCTGATCATGTCTTCCTTCCTCCGCCCCATCTGCTCATAGGGTTAAAAATGGAGTAAGTGGTTTTAAACACACTATTACCTTGAATACTTCTCTTGAAGAAGGCCTTACAACCCTCACAGGACCAGACTCCGTAATGGTAGCCTGAGGCATAATCATTGCACACTGCACAGTAGCGCGTCTCCTTGGCAGATTCCACGGCCATGCCTCCTTTGTCACCAGTGCTGGCCAATCTCTCCCGGCCACCTTGGCGTCGGTTATCTGAACTTGGCCTGGGGAAGAAAAATGGGGAGAAAAAGACCACAGTGAATCCATTAACATTAGAAAAGCAAAACATTCACTCTCCTCTAAAGAATAAGAGGTTTGGGAGATGCAGCAGATCCACTTTATTCTGACATTTTGATATAATGAATCATAATGTAAGCTAATCTTTCATTACCACTTGCCTTCTGTTGCAGCAAAAGGTGTTTGACTATTATATTAACCTTGAAGGGAAATTGTTCATTGCAGACTTGCTAAAAAAAATAGACTGCCTACCCCAGAATATATTACCAAGAAAACAACAAAGTAAAATTAGCTGGTTTCTAATAGTCTTCATTTGCTCAGGGATTCACAATCAATGTAGAACCATCAGAGACCAATATTAATTCCAATTCTCCATCACACTAAGTGTCTTCAGGAAACAAAAGCAAGGCATAAAACAGCTGGAGCTTTTGGGGCTCAGAAGAACTGGTGAACAATACAGAACACATGTTGGAAAAAAATAATTCAAAATTTTATGCCATTATTACCAAGTAACCTTGAATATCAGTTTTTATAATATGGCTCTATCATTTGAGGATACTATTCAGTACCCAAAACTCCTCTTTAACAACATGCAGCATGCAGAACAAGAACAGAGAAACACAGGTGACCCCAACCCTTTAAAGATTCCATGGAAGAAGGATGTGTAAAAAAAAAAAAAAAAAAAAAAACTAAGAGTGAACAATAGGAAATTTCTAGAAGAAGCAAGAAAATGGGAAAATAAAAAGCTCAGTACTACTAATTGGGACAGAGAAGTCCAATAAAACAAGAACTCGTAAGCTAAACATGGAAGTTCCAGCTAAACATGGAAGTTCCATCAGCTGGAAGAGTGGATGCATGTGAGGAAATAAAAATGAGTAAAAGCCATTCCTGTGAGAATTTAGAAGAGAACCAGAAGAGAAAGAAATGGGGTGGTAGCTAAAGAATATAAGACAAAGGGATTTTTAGAATGAGACTTGAGAAGAGACTCAAAGAATGGACCAGCAGAGGGAGAAAGGATGAAGATCCAGAGAACATGATAAAAGGATAAAAGCATGAGGGAAATGACAGCAGTTGAGATTACAGACACAGATGCAAGAAACAGCCTTAATGAAGACTCCTTTAAGCAGATTGGGAGAAAGAAGCTAGGAAAGAATTAGATGAGGTAAGTCTGTACATCTCATCTGACCAATATGGGGCATACAATATATTCACCCATGATTTGCTAGGCATATGTAAATAAAAGTGGCATGAGGGAATTAGAAGTACATGGCCAGAGACAGCACAATGCCTGGTGTGTAGCTGGCACCCAATATTTTTAGCCCAATGGAAGAGCACTTGAAGGTGTACAGGAAAGAGATATAGATACTAGAAGACTAGATGGAGGGGCCAGCGCTGTGACATAGTGGGTAAAGCCGCCGCCTGCAGTGCTGGCATCCCATATGGGTACCAGTTCAAGCCCCGGCTACTCCACTTCCAATCCAACTCTCTGCTGTGGCCTGGGAAAGCATTAGAAGATGGCCCAAGGCCTTGGGCCCCTGGACCTGTGTGGGAGACTCGGAGGAAGCTCCCGGCTCCTGGCTTCAGATCACCGCAGCTCTAGCCATTGTGGTCAGTTGGGGAGCGAACCAATGGATGGAAGACCGACCAACAGACGGAAGGACAGACCGACTGACCGACCGACCTCCCTCTCTCTCTCTCTCTCTGTCTCTCCTTTTCTCCGTGTGGTTCTGACTTTCAAATAAATAAATAAATCTAAAAAAAAAAAAAAAGGAGACTAGCTGGAGTGGCAGTTCCTATAACATTCTTTTAAGCTTAAGATGAGATAAGGTAAATTAAAGATACATCTTGCAAGGGCTCTTGATTAAAGAAACTCAGGCTCCTGTCTCCATTCCCCACCCAGATAACCAGGACATACTAACCGTCACTGGTCTGTATCTTCACAAGACATATTTCTTTTTTGCTCAGATTTTACAACTGTCTCTTCCTCTTTATCACTCATCAATATGGTGTAAAACTTCGTGATGGAAGTTCTAAAACTACATTTACTGTGGGGAGCAACTGGGACTAGACTGTTACTGGAATTAAGACTTATTCTATGCATCTGCTCTCCCACAATATGGCGCTGGGAGAGGAGGAAACAGCTTCTAAACAGCTGCCTCCAGTTCAACCAATAAACAGCAGGACCTGCTCCTGATTGGAGGAGAGCAGCATACTCGGCGTGTGGGTAGCAGAGTTGGGATTGGTGGAAGAGGACTATAAAGGAGGAGAGAGACAACATGCACCGGGAACATCTATCTGAAGGAACACCTGAGCAGCCCCCGAACGAGCCAGCCGGCGGTGTGCCGCTCCCCCGCGGAAGTGGGGAAAGTGGCAGGGGGAACCACCCTTCCACAAGCCTTCCTGTGTCATTCCTCCGTGAAGAGGGGGAGCGACATAATGGTGCCATGACTCGGATATGAAGCCTAGGCAGGGTTTAGTGTCGTTCCTCCATAAAGAGGGGGAGCGACATAATGGTGCCGTGACTCGGATAGGAAACCTAGGAGGGAAGAAGCGGGAAGAAGTGGGAAAATACCGGAGAGAGAGACTAGCAAAGAGCCTAGGGAAAAGCTGGATGGAAAAAGTGCCGGAAGAAGTTAGGATTGAGGGCGAAGGTAAAGGCTGGAGGAAACATAGACTCGGATGCGGACTATGGCAGGGAAGCTAGGAGATTAAAAGCGAAAGTGAAAGCTAGAACAAACAGACCCGGATACGGACTGTGGGGAGAAGCCAGGAGAAATGAGAGGGGAATGTTGTTGGAAGAAAAGTTAGGAAACATACTGGGTAGAGAAAAATATGTTAGGGAGGATGAAGCCGTGGGGGCAGGCTGAGGCGGAGACGTAAGCTAGCTTGGGATTCATCAAGTCAGCCCGGGGAGCAAAAGGCGAAAAGCTAAAGCCAGAGGCAGAGACGCATCAGCTAGGTTGGAATCCATCAGATTAGCCTGGGGAGCAAAAGACGGGAAGCCAAACCGAAGCGGAGACGTGAGCTAGGTTGAATTCGCCAGGTTAGCCCGGGGAACTTAGACTGAATACCGGTGGCGGAAACGTGAGCTAGGCTGTGTGACTCGCAGAAGCCGCCGCGCGCAGAGAGAGTGCGCGGGGCACGAACCGGGAGAGCGCAAGAGGTGCGAGTAGAGAGAATGCGGGGCTGACGCGAAGGCCGTGGTGTGGGCGCAAAGGGTGCGGAGACCGCGGAGCGCTCGAAGCCAGGAAGCCGCGCAGAGCCGGGAAGCCACCACGGGGCAAGGCGCAGAGAAGCAGCCTCGGGGCAGGCGCCGGGAAGCCACGGGGATAAGAGAAACAGAAGTTTAGAAGTAAAATGAGAGAAATAGGAATGCTGGCAGATAGAAGTAAAATAGGAGAAATAGGAATGCCTGGAGATAGAGAAATAGAGAAAAATAAGGCCTCCCCACAACCTGGCAATGAGAGAGCTTGGATTCGGTCTGCCTGATTACCGAGGTGGTGAGCACCTGCGGGCGGCTAGCAGCTTATACGCCGCAGGTCACCGAAGACAGGCACCTTATCAACACCAATAAGTCTCCCCACAATACGGCAATGAGAAGGCTCGGATTCGGTTTGCCTGATTGGTAGGGCTTGTAAGCACCTGCAGGCAGTTCTAGCAGAGCAGAGCATGCGCTTCAGGGCACCGAACACAGGCACACATCAGCGCCTAAAAACCTCCTCAAAACATGGCAAAGAGAGGACCCGGATTCGGTTTGCCTGATTGGTAGGGCTTGTAAGCACCTGTGGGTAACTCCAGCAAGCAGAGCAGAGTGTGTGCCACGGGGCACCGAAGACAGGCACGTATCAACGCCAAAAATAAAAAGAAAGGGGGAACTGTGGGGAGCAACTCGGACTAGACTGTTACTGGAATTAAGACTTATTCTATGCATCTGCTCTCCCACAATATGGTGCTGGGAGAGGAGGAAACAGCTTCTACACAGCTGCCTCCAGTTCAACCAATAAACAGCAGGACCTGCTCCTGATTGGAGGAGAGCAGCATACTCGGCGTGTGGGTAGCAGAGTTGGGATTGGTGGAAGAGGACTATAAAGGAGGAGAGAGACAACATGCACCGGGAACATCTATCTGAAGGAACACCTGAGCAGCCCCCAAGAGAGCCGGCCAGTGGTGTGCCGCTCCCCCGCGGGAGTGGGGAAAGTGGCAGAGGGAACCGCCCTTTCACGGAGGTGGAAGGGATGGTAGCCAACCTGGGAAGAACCAGCAGCAAACCCGGGGAGGGCCGAGCAGACGAAAGAACAACGCAGGGTCCTGTGTCGTTCCTCTGTGAAGAGGGGGAGCGACATAATGGTGCCGTGACTCGGATATGAAGCCTAGGCAGGGTTTAGTGTCGTTCCTCCATGAAGAGGGGGAGCGACAATTTACCATAATATTCCCAAAATATCAGTTCCATGGGTTGAGTATGTCTAGTTTGCTCTGAGGTTGGCTGCCTCAAATAGGACTTTTTATTTTTTAATGATCGTTAGAGAGCACTGGCTTACAGTTGTCAATCCTAGTCCATGTTGTGTTATTTATCTCATTCTTTTTCACCATTATGCTGCTGAACTCCCCCTACCATCAGCCTCAAATCTTTTTATTCTTTATTTACTAGTATCTTATGCATGACTCAAGCCAATAGGTAACACTGGGAATTTTTAATGATAGAAGCATAGTGCCTTTGGGAATGACAAGTAGGGGGGCTGACAGATTCAGTGCCTTATAAACCTTAAAACTGTTGCAGCCCCAGTAACTTTCTTAGTGCCCCTCACATAGCAGCATTTAATACATGTTTATTGAATGAATGATTGAGTGAGTGAAGGAATAAATGACTGAAGCCAGTGAATAGTATATGCATAGGCAAAAGTTTCAAGGTATCAAATATCCTTCCACCCATCCCTGCATAAGAAGCAAGGTACTTTGTAATTGCGGCAAGAATATGCAGAAAATAAAA